CTCTCTAATCTTCAGAATCTCCAATCTCTCTAATCTTCACAATCTCCAATCTTTCTAATCTTTAACCTTTAAAATCCCCAATATTTCTAATCTTCAATCTTCACTATCTCTAATAATTCTTTTCTTTAAACTTCTCATCATCTAATATTTCCAGTCGTTAATCTTCACAATCTCCAATCTTCACAATCTCCAATCTTTCTAATCTTCAATCTTCACAGTCTCCAATCCTTCTAATCTGTAACCTTCACAGTCTCCAATCCTTCTAACCTTCAATCTTCACAATCCCAATCCGTATAACCCCAACCTCCACAATCTCCAATTCTTAACATCTTCACTCTCAATTTACAATCTCCCTAATCTCTACCAATCTTCCCACCGTCCGACCGAGCGACAGAATGAAAAATCCCCGTGCAAATGCCGAGCCCCATACTCGTGATCGTTCAGTCAATCTTCGAATCCTCCTGGCAGGACGCGAGAGCTGGCCGTGACCCGAGACGAGTAGCGGCTTCCTGTTTTCGCGCACGAGTTCCGCAGGCCATCGCTACGTGCCCGGCGTCCCGAGCGTCGCTTTTAAATTTTATTATGCCGGCCGATATGTTCTTATCCTATTTCGGGCCAGAAATTCGCGCCGGTCGGCGATCGATCGTTCTACGCGACCGGCGGGAGGAATTGGATACGTGTGTAAGCACGAACATATAACACGCCGGCCGCTCCGGGGAGGGAAACGGTTAACCAACGTCGGGTCGTACCGGCGCCGTTCGGGAATCCTGAAGAGAATGGTCCCGGATAGAATGGGGATGGTATTCAGCGAAGTGATTGCGAGTTAAAAATTCATTGACTGCAGCGATCGGCCTGGGGACTTCTGAAACTTGTCGTTATTCGGCGCAGAGAGTTTGGAGAGTGGAATGTTTGATTGGGGAATTACGCTTTTATTAAACAGATTCCTTGTTAGCTATTAATTATCACTAATAGTGTATTAATAACACCAATATATCTATTTCCTCATTTGCTTTCGAACTCTTATTATACATCAATGACAGCAATTTCGAAAGTTTCCACGTTAAAGTGACAGATTCGTAAATAATCGATACACTACTCAGTCTTATTAGTCTTCCCAATAATCGATTTCTCAGTTCCAATCGCCATTCCTCGCTTAAAAATCCTTAATCCATCGACTCGAAGCGACACAAAGACCCATTGAACCCGGCATCAATTAAACACAACGATCACACGCGAATGCATTCGTCCCGCATTTCGCTCCTAAAGTTCCGAGGTCCCCGTCGTTCTCGTGCTCGATTTCCAAAGGAGAACGGAAACGGGAACGATCGCGGCATCCGATAATTGCGAATGCATCGGGAGCATCTATCGGCTGATTTCAGAAGCGCAGCCCGGGAACGGCTCCCGCGAGTGTTGCGTTCATCGACTGCGAATTCCCTGTCCCGCGTAAATCCCGCTATCTCGTCAGAAGGGTCTGTCGTTAACGATCCCTATAACCGTTCGCGTGATCCTCGCAGTATCGGGAAAAAAGGAACTTTCCGGGCGGCGCCGCCGCGCTAACGGGACACCGCGGGATCCCGATTTACCGTTTCCGTCGAATTAACGAGCCGAATCCACCCGCGTTACTCGCACGTTAATTAATTCCGCGCCGATCAAAGCGACGCTAGGGGGGGAAGGCCGCGTAATCGTTGCATTATGCCGGGGCTTATCGACTAATGCAACTCCACCGCGAAAATCTGCCTACCGTCGAAATTTCTCGGATCCCTTTTGTCAATTTTTCATTGTTATCCGTGGCGGTTAACACCGCTTGAATGCGTAATTACCGTGCAGTGACGCTTCGTTGAACGCCGCTCGGCGCGATCGTGGGTAATCCGATCGAAGATAAAATTATATTTTTATTGATACTTTAACAGCCTTTGTTAGGCGTGTTTCTTTTAATTGATCCATTTTAGACCTGTCAGTAAACAATTATATCATTGAATATATATATATAACGATGCGACCAATGTATATATAAAATTTAGCATTATTATTATCTAAGCGATTTTAAAGAATTAAGGATATATTTGATTGTTGAAGGAGCACTTGAAAGATTTAGAGAAGAAAATTGAAAATTTATTTATCACGTTTACTGCCACGTCGGTCACCGATGATCGCAACTTCCAAATTACTTTACAATAATTACGATTTGTCAGATAACGAATGTCGAATGGAAATATTTTATAGCGTAAATTATTAGACAATAGTGTAACGTAAGCATTCCGATACCAAATAATAAGTAACTGTTCCTCTTTATCTTTGCTACAAAGGAATAAGTGCGACATAAAACTCTGAAGGTTTTCGTGGCAGTCAACGTGTTAATAGGACTGATTGAATATTGCATATCGATTTTTAATTGATATCCCAGCAACTAACAATCTATAGAATTCCTATAAATTACCAATGCTCCAATTAAAATATTCCAAACTCAGAAACCTTCGATCTTCTCTTCTAAATCTTCCAAGTGCTCGTTCAACAATCAAATATATTCCTAATCCCCTAAAATTCCTCAGATAATAATAATGCGATCAAATTTCATATAGTCCAGTCGACCTTGGGTAGGTCTTGGTTAGGTCTTGGTTAGGTCTAATCTCCTAAAATTCCTCAGATAATAATAATGCGATCAAATTTCATATAGTCCAGTCGATCTGACCAAGATGTGTTGTTATGTTTCAGGCCGAACGCACGACTCCACCTACACGTTGTACAGACTGGGCGAGAGGTTATCCAGCGGGGCTAGATTGTACGTGGAAACCGGAAGAACCGACGGCCTCGACGCCGACGGCGATTCCCCGAATAGCCTCCACTCGTTCGCCGGTCCTCCGGTGCCCCAAGGGGAAGGAACAAGTATCGCGAGAGCGTTCCTCGACGGCAATCACACTCTGATCAGCATCATGTCGCGTATCAACCCGAGCCCCGATTGGTTCATAGGGGTGGACTCCTTCCAGCTGTGCGTCGAGGGGAATTGGGTGGACACGGTCACCGTCGAGGTAATTTCATTCATTCTAATCAATATCCGTTACACAATCGAGCATCCGTACGTGGACAAATGTCTTCATTGTCTTCCCTTCATCTATAAAATCTCTGTAACTAGAAATTCGTTTGACTTCCGTTGAAATTCCTGTGCTCGGGTAATTATTAATTAGCACTTAATATCTCTATTACATTGTGTCCAAACAAACTTCTAAATCGAATCAATTTATTCTCGCTTATTAACACATTGAGGACGAATTTTCAGGAAACTGAATTGTGATGGCAATTTTCACTGAGGTCAACTTATATCACTTTAGATAGAAAAATTAAGATATCATATTGTTGTGTAATATATTAAATAGATAATCAATTCGAATTAAATTTTATGTTTTTTCAATACTGTGGTAATTAGCAATGTTGCATAGCTAAGTGTCTTTATATAAAAACGTTCTCGTTACCAGTCCGCAATGTGTTAACACTGAAACTAGCAGTTAAATTGACTTTCTGAAATTCCTGTATAGAAACTCCAAGAATTGATACTTCAATTGCTTTATAATTCAGTTATCGGTAAATCAATTTCTTCAATAACTTCTCTGAGAAATATATGTTATCTCTGTAATAATTGCAAGAAGATGACATCGGCAATGAGTCACTTCGATCCGTCCGGTAGTTTTTGTTGGAATATTTCCGTTCTTACATTTCAGTTTCAGTTCGTATATTCTTATAAAAGAATTATTTCAACTATCACTGATTGTCAGATCACATACTACCTCACTGTTCCCATTGAACTCAAACGATTTCCACCACGCTGCAGCTCTCCCACGTCCAGTAGTTTTAATATCGATCCAATTAACCAATTCACCTGCACAGTTAATACTCCCGCATTCGTAAAACTCCTCTAATCGGTTAGAAAAGGCACCGATCACCGAACACCCGAGAAAATCGAGCCACCGGTCCAACCTTAAGGGGCCCGCCGTTCCAGTTCCGGCGTGCGGGCATTTCTCCCTCGGAGGAGCCGCGAGAAATGTTTTTTGCCATCGGGGAAATGGGCATCCGGCGTTCGTTAGAGCGGAGCGGCGGGGTAATTTCGGGAAAGAGCGAAAGGGGGTGGGTCAGGGGAGAAAAAGGGTGAAACGCCGTTTGAAAACTGTCGATCGCCGGCCGGAATATGTAGGTCGCGTCCCATTTGCGAGGAATAGGTCCGAGGCAAATACGGCTTTCCCCTGGCCAGCGCCCCCATCTCATTAAAATCCAGCGGCCATTGAAGAGTAACCAGTGTGCGCAATCCGGGACCCGGATGATCATCTTTTTTTCTCCTTCCATTTCGCAGCTGGACCCGCTGGATGGAGGCACGGATAACGGGTTCACATTCACCGCTGCCAACTGGCCGACCCAGCCCCAAGGAATCGCGTACAGGATCACCTCGCGGTACCCAGCGCATCCGGCTGGCAGCTTCTATTATCCGAATCTGCCTCGACTGCCGCCGATAGCCACGCTCACCTTCACCAAGGTAGGTGATTCTTGTTTAACTCTAATCCCACCACGTGTTCTTATAACGAATCGTACCGAAATTAACACTAACCAGTCTGAGAACCGGTTAACCCCTTGCCGTGCAATGACGAGTGAGACTCGCGATGGAGATTTCTGAACTAATTTAACCAAAATCATTTCATCATCAATCTATTATCAGTGTATTATTTTCAAATGAAATTTCCACCTGAGGTAGAATGGAAAATTTTGTTGTATCTCTTACAAATTGTTGATAGTAAAATATTACACGAGCTTAGAACGAAAGTGAATAGTACGCCAAGGGGTTAAATCACCGAATGTAAAATTCTACCTTTCCTTTCGTTCATATAACTCTACAACTCATATTATCCCATTAATCCTAATCGTACCGCGTGTTTCTATAACGAATTATACCAGGATGAGACTTTCAGTCACTTATGGGAATGAAAGGAATGATTAAGGTGTTATTGATTTTGTTTATAGGGACCAGACGTTAAAAGTTCAAGAAAACTTTTGGAAATGCAATATGAAATAATCAAAATATTTGAGTAGAAAGTTCATATGTGACTCGAAGTCACGTCGTGGTTCGATTAGGGTAACTCTGTTTCTCCGACAGAGACGTAGGAAGATACCTGAGGAATTTAAGACTGGAAGAGCACTTAACCCTAATCGGTCCACATTTTAATAAATTGTTAATGGCAGTCGAACATAGTTGAAAAATAAATCCCAGGGCAAAGGGTTACACTGACCTATGAACACTTTGTAAAAGCTACGAGCGTGGATTTATTAAGATTTGAATTGATTTACAGTTCAAGTTAGCTGTCACTTCATCAGCTTCTTTAGTAGTTCCTCAAAGTATTCGCACCTTTTCAGTAATCGCGAAAGAATAATCAAGGAATGGGTCATTTTGGACTATCTGGTAGTTCTAGTGTTAATTTAGAATTATCTTCTCTTCACCCAACTTGTTCTATAACTTACTTTATAATCAAATCGAAGCGTAAGTGTTCACTTCGGATTTGATATAGTTATTAGAAACCTGGATAGTAGGAATATTAAATAGAAATAGAATTCAAACTCTATATTTCATTTAATTAACATTTCTCTACCTCGAATCGTTTAATTTTCAGTTTGAACATATTCAAAGAACCGTTACCCTTCGAACAAACAATGCTCCAAAGAACAATGTAACTTCAATCATCCTCCACCGCAATAAAAATATTTTCCTCAATGGTCCCTCGAAAGAACGATCACCAAGTTCAATTAAAAAATAAACAATGCTCCAAACAACGTAATTTCAATCATCCTCCACCGCAATAAAAATATTTTCCTCAATGGTTCCTCGAAAGAGCGATCACTAAGTTAAATTAAAATTGCTGTATTCCCCATAACCCGAGCTCTTTCATCATCCCCCATTTCTCACCTCTCGAATCGACCCTCCTCCCTGTCATCGCAATCCTCCGCTGAGTCATCGTGTTCTCGAACCAGGACACGCTTCCGTCGACTCCCCGAAGTCGTCCTTCACCGAGATCCCTCCCCCGTTTTCGTCGACACCGACACCGTCATCCGCAACGTCGAACACACTTCCGGCAAGGAAGAGGGTCGCGCCGGGTTTCGTCAATATTTATTCACTGACACCGCTCGGCGAGCCCCGCTGACTTTTCCTCGCGTCATCGGCCTCTCGCCGCGGACCCTCCGCTCCCGTGGAACTTCCCCATAGGAGCTTTTTCTCCGTACGTGACCCAGTCTCGAGCGAGATTCGAGTCTCGAGCGGCGACAGCGACGATAACGAGGATCGAGGGCCGGCCGTTATACTTGCTAATTACGTCTTTGCGGATTCTTGCGGTCATTTCGCCCTCACTTGCTTTCTTCGTCGTACCTTCTGCCGGCCGAGTGTCTCGGATGTTTTAAATTCAAATTAAAATTGTATTTGCTTTGGGGAAACGTTCTTTACCACTGGAGAGTCTAATTGTTCCTCGAGAGGTTAATGGGAATTTTATCTCGCGCGTTTGTCTTTGGGAACAGTGTTTTTCGAGGACCACTCGCTGTAAATTCAGCTGAGGAAAGTGCATTAAAATCTGTGATAAATTGTGTAGCGAATAGTGAACGTTTTTGGTAGACAATCTCTTCCCTAATGAACTTATTTTCCGAGGAAGAAAGTGACCAATCGTCTACTCCGCAAATTACTTCGCAACCCTCGAAGACAATGAATTATATCCCCCAACTTTTCTCCGAGTTTCTCACGAAAAATCCTTCGTTTAACCATTGACAAGTCATTCTCCGGGCAGCATGACAGTTTCACGTCCCCCCCGACCGACTTGCTCATATTTCCCGGCCTCGGTTACCGCGTAATTATCAAACTTTCCACGCTAATCCGATAGACCCATCGCCGACCCTTATTTTTCCTCCCTTCGCTTCCTGTTCACGTAATCCGGCCTGACTCGGCTCCGCCCCGACGACGCCTCGTCAGCTGTTTCGACGAGCCGGGACATCTTGTACCGTTCCGTCGGCGAACATGGAAGAAAATACTTTGTCGTTCCGCCTTTGCGCCGGCTTCCGGTGCCTGCTGGGCGCCGGTCTTAAAAACACATGCAAGATTCATGCGGGTCCCGATATTCAAAGGGAAACGTACTTTGTTCCCTTTAAAGGGGACGCAGGCGTTGTTCGGTATTCCGTAGGAATTTGAATGATCATTGTGTCGGACAAATTGTCGTCTATTTTCTGTCAATACGCTGTTTCTATAATAATGTCGGAATAAATATTTAAAGAGTGAACGTATGTCGAATCGTAACGAGAAGTTGAACGATAGTAGTTGGAGAATGTAGTTCCACGGTTTATTTACGATTCGATGGCGTATTCTCGCGCTATAAAAAGAAATGATACTTTTATTCGTAAACATTAACCCGTTGCCCTATTTATTTTTTACCATCGACAAAAGTACTTCATCCTCGTTAGAATTGCAACGATTATAAACATAACAGACATTTTCTAAGAAACCTTCAAAGAAATTGTTTCAGCAAAACGCAAATTGAAATTCCATCGAACTCTCAACAGATGCACTTCCTACAGAGGAATTTCAAAAGTCAGTTCATCTCGGTAGTTCTATCGTTAACATCGCGAACCAACATAATTTCCTTCATCGAGGAACCTACCCGGCGATATCGTCGCTAAACTTAGGTGTCGTTCCGCAGGACGTGGAATCGACGGATCGTTTGTTCGGTAAACAGAAAGAGCAGCGGATGTCAGGCGACGCGGTCGGCGAAGGGAGCCAGGCGTGATTCACAGCTGATTAAGCTTCGCTCGCACGACTCGTTTCCCGCACTCCGTCGGAGTCGTCTCGCGTTTATCGTCCCCGCGGTGGCCGTCGAGCCGTGCGGCGTTAATTCGACGGTCTTCGCCGGCGCGCGCGATCGGAAGCTGCAGCTGGAACGGCGCGCAGGATGCTCCGTTGTCCCGCGAGACGAGGGGGGAAAAAGTGGGACGGGAACGCCGGAAACAAATAAGGGTGGAAACGAGCGCGTGAACGATGCCGTTTAAGCTCGAGCATCTTAGGTACTCCGTTAAGCTTGAAATTGGAACACGCGAACGGAACGCCGAGCGCCACGGTATCGCCGGCGGCTCCCGGCGTTCCCGGGCAGCCTCGGTTCCCGACGATTCCTCGAATCGATAGTGTTTATGTCCTCGGACAGGATGGGAAAGGCCGTCGCGTTGCCGGTCGATTGGTCGCGGGACGCGCTCGAGCGGATACGAATTGCTGGTTGCGCGCGCGGATGATTACCCGAGCCGGAGGAGCGTGAAGCAATCGAAGGAAGAAGTCTTATCGGAGGTTTAAACCGTTACTTCCCTTTCGTGCGTTTTATTTCATTTAAATGGCGGATTGGATTTCGAAGGTTTCCACCGCGATGGGAATCGCTGCGAGCGGGTGGAATGATATTTTGGGGATGGGATTGCGATTGAATCATCGTGCTTTCTGGGCTGCGAGGTATATTGTGTAGAGTATCATTCAATATTGAGATAGATACAGGAAGTTGAACTGCTTATTTGGATTTTGCTCGTATTACAGCCTTATTTGCGTTGGATCAGAGTTGAATGAGATTTAGCTGGATTTTATTGGGTTCTTTAATTAGGGATTAGCTGTATGTTGACTATTGCTGATTTAGTTGAGACGTTTGAACCTGTTCTAGGAATTATATTAATTAGAGTCTCTTATTGTTTAAATCTAACTTCACCAGATCTGTCTCACTAACACGTTGACTGCCACGAGAATTTCGAGCAGTTTGCATGTTGATAATTGTAACAGTGTTAAATGATACTAAAAATAATTACTACATATTAAACATAACTACGTATGTTACTAAATATTCTGATCCGATATGAATTTTCTTGTCATTGTTCTCAAGCGATTTGGAAGCTCCGCTCACGATCACCGTCAACGTTAAATACTTTCACACCCCAGTCTGATTACCCATCACACATCAGCCATCAACGATTTAAACACTATTTCTCTCAAAAAGAGTCACGGCTGCAAGACGTCCTCTCAATTCCCAAGACCTCAGCCGCGAAGCGAGCGTACATTCTTGGCGAAGCCAATAACATGTCACCAGTTATAAATTCCAACGTTTCCGACGTGGCTCGAAATACCGAACGAGACGAGCGGAAAAAGAGTTTCCAGCCGCTCCTTCGCCGCAACCTTTCCCCGGCTTCCCGGCCGTCCGCCCGCGGGAATTGAGATTTCAGCCGGTTCCGGGGCAAACTTTTTCATATCGTTCTCGCCGTAAATTTCCTTATCGAATGAGTGCGTTCGCCGTTATTGATCGCCGAACGATGAAGCGTTCTTCAGCCGAACGGCGAATTATTCCTCGCTTTATCAGCATTCCGAGGAAATCCATTGTCTTCGTTCGGCGATCAGCGGCGGGGAACCTCGCCGCGCTTAAAATCGTCCGTTTCCCGTTCCCCGGCGTCTCCGCGGGCGAGGAATCACGGTGCTCCTTCCCGCGAGCGCGC